TATTTAAAGGAGTGATAGCAAAACTTAATAAACACAAAGTTATTACAAGTAAATAAAAGTTTATATAAACAATGGTTCGATTTTTAGCAGGAAAGTAGGGCATTAAAGTTTTTTGATATTTTGTGTGTCACGTTTATTGTTGAATAGGAAGTGATAACAAAATAAAAACTATTTAATTCAAGTAATTAATGATAGTTTCACTGTAAACTTGACAAAATTTGCTTCAAATAAAAACAGAGTTTCCTTTTGTTAAAACCATTTAAAGAGGAATTTCGAGCGGCTAAATTCAGCTAAGGAGTGGGGGGAGATGGATAGTGGTGGGGGGAGCACGTGGTACAGAGGTGGTACCCCCCTTAATTGCTGGAACTGCCACTGCCAGTGGGCGGGATGGCCGAATGGGATAACGCGTTGTGCACAGCGCTACCGTTGCTCGGGAACCTGATATATGATAAATGTGTTATAAAAATAGTCACGAGTTCGCGTGCCGGTGCCAAGGCGTCTTTTAAATCCCTATCCACATCCCCTGGCCCCGGAAAACCCCGTATATCCTTAACGGCGAGGAAGGGTAGGGCCTCCCCCCAAAAAAAAATCTGCCACTGCATGACGGTTCGGTCAACTTCACCTACTTTCGGACACACTCCGAATTTCATCTATAGTGTGATCATGAGATCATATGACCTCCATCAAAGTGGAGCAACTCTTGAAAATTAGTACCAATTTTATCATTAATTTATCTTGAAAGTATCTTATTAATTTCCTCTATCTTATTAACTGTTTTATAAGCAAAATCTGGTTCGGCGAGTTTATTACACTTAACTTTCACTTACTACTTTATGTAGAAATGAGTGTTTTCATAAGTAGGGAGGTAAAATTTATAGACGATATATCACATTTATTTAAAATAATTAATTGCCACACAAAACTTTGTGGCCAGGTTTAAAGTATTAATGGAAATATAGATTACAGGAATTAGACGAATGTTAAAAAATAAATGCTATAACTAGTTAGCATTAAAAATATCACTCACACTATTATACAATACTATGTTATTTGGGCCCAGGGGACCTCAAAACATGTATTTTAGTTGAAAACTTGAATTAGAAAATTTTCATGATAGCAATACTTCCCTTACTATATATTTCATATGTAGGTAAGTAAAAGTAAAAATGTTTAAAAAATGTGAATCATGATTTTTGAATGATCATGAAGGATCCTATTATTTTCAAAGGAGGTTCAAATATAATATTTTGGCCAAGAATTGGCATTCTCTCATAAATTACATTTGGTGCAATTTTAACAAACAGATTTTTCAAATTACCACTTATGTATAAATGTGTTGTGGACATCACACTCATGGTACTTTGATCAGGAATCATAGTAGTAAAATATTTTTTTGGTTAAAATGCAATGACAATCTGCAATGAGTTTTTCTTTTTGTGTTATAATGATAGAACTTGTGAAATATTAATTATTTCAAAAGTTACAAATGATTTCCCGTTTTGCATCACATAAAAACATTGTACACTTTTGTTTCTTAGGTGATTCATTGTTATAAACAACAGAAAGTTTTAGTAATCCTTACAAAATTTGTAATTGACTAGATTAGTAGATTATTTTTACCAAATGATTTAATGAGAGAAATATTTTACATATTTAATGAGTGAGCCTATAATAGTTAGCTTTAATACTCATTAATTTTACTAATTGCTCCAGTGTCAGAAGCAGAAACCATAAAATTGTATTTTTGTTCTGTTGAATAATAAATCAACTTGAGAAGGAGGAGATTAGCTATTTTGAGTTAGTGTAAAAGCAGATCATCTTATTTGGAGTGTGTTAAGAAATTTTGACATAGAGCTTTCTCATTACTAGTTAGTACTGGGCACAGGTTGGACACTGAAGTAAATTAACCATTCATATGCCAAGAATAACTAGCTAAGACAACTCCTTATTAACTCAAGTAAGCAATATCTTTTATTTGTGTAAAATTGATTTATGCACGTGCCTCTTGATTTTTTTATGTGAAAAAAACTCTGCACCTACTTTTAAAAAGCTTATTACATAATATACTGATTCTAAAACAACTATTTTTCTCATGTTAAATTCATTCTTGAAATCTAAAAACTTTTCAATATTTTAGATAAGAATCTCTCAGGGAATATTTATTTTTATTACAAGCCAAATAGAAAAAAAAAGTAATTCATGCAATTTTTATAAGATAAGGTTCAAAAACTAAATAAAATAATATTTTAAAGATTCAGTACTAAAGAGATCCTAAGTGGTTTTGAGTAGAACTCAGTTATTGTCAATACTGAAAAATATTTAGAGTAATATAGTTACTGCTTTTACTTACATGATTAAAAAAATAATTAATAATATTCACTCCAAATAATTTAGTTGATTGGATATTGGAACAGTAATCAATACAATTTAATAGCATTTAAGATATATAAACTAAATTATCTGCGTAAAGATAAATTATGTCATCATCATGTAATAGTACCAAGCATTGTACATTAAGGTCTACTGATCAAGGAAAATATGCATCCTCTAAGGTGTATTGGTTTATACAACACATCTTCATAATGATACATCTTCATAACTTCATAGTGATGTTCCTTTTTTTTTTTTTTTCCTCAGAAAGGAATGTGCTGTGGCCTCAAAAGGCCACCTATTTAGTGTCATCCCATACTCAATTAAAACAGGTCATATGCCTTTACGAAATTGTTAATATTACTAGGATCTATTAGTTTGCAGCACTTGGAGTCAGTGATATAATCACACCCAAAGTAAAAGTATCGCACTCTAGTCAAATAATCACATATACAAATAAGGTGATAGCCTGTTTCATCTTGTTTAAAGGCTGACCAAAGCTGTTTGGTGTAGGGAAGTTTCTTACTAAGAGGAATAAGTACCTAAACACACATGATCAACATGTTTAAAGCTTAATTTCATTTTTAAAGAAAATAATTCTAATAACTAAATATTTAAAATAACTATTTAACATAACTAATTACATAACCAAATTATTTTTAAATAATTGAACTGGTGAAACCAAGTGATTTGTTTTATTCATGACAAAATTTTAAAGAATAGTTTCTATTTTTTTTTCTAAAGTAATTATTGTTATATATATGTAAAAAAATTCTTTCGAACTGAAGTTCTCCTGAAATTAAATCCTGGATCCACTAGTGATCTTCATTAAATGGTCAATGTCCAACCGTTGGTCTGAACAGGCTTACAAAACTGTATTTTTTAAGTTGTCCAAATATCCTTTTTGAAGGAGAGCAATCTCAGTTGACCATTTTTATTCAGCAAATTTTAGCATATTTGTAAATAAAATATCTTGTTCAAATTAATTAAATAACTTATTAAAAAGAAAACTGAAATAAAAGAAAATAAAACAATAACATGTTTTAACTTTCAAGATATTTTGGGCATCAGGAACACCAATCTTTTTGGTAGAGAGAGAGAGTTGTAATTTAGATTTCTTAAGCTGTTAATTATTATTCACCAATGAATAATTATCCTATTCTCAGTATTTATATTTTATAATATTACATTTCAGCTTCAAGGTCTTTTTCAGGCATATCTAAACACAGGATTTAGAATAAAATACACACATATTATTGTCTAACAGAAGACTATGTTAATCACTTATCATTTGAATATCAAAATAGATCAATTGTTTACAAAATACATATAGATAAATACAACATTACTGATAAGAACATCCAAGCATTCATCTTAATCTATTTAAATGGGAAAAAATATTTAACATTAATTAAAATGACGAACTTACATATTAAATTTGTGGAGCTACCTCTAGGTTATGCAAGGTCTATGAAACTATCAGGTTTGTTCACCCAAAGATGCTTGATGGAGGACTTGAATCTTTACATAAGGGCTAGACAACCAAACCTACTTATTGTTTTTTTTATTGGAATGAAAAGTTCTTTAGGCACGTTTTGCACTTTTTTATGGAGAGTGAATTAGATTGATCCGTCAGATTTTCGAAATTTTAACGCTCGGGTAAAGTCGGATGATATCGAGTAATTGAAATGTTTTTATGTATGAAAAGTTTTATTGAAGATATGGATTAAAATATCTCAGAAACTAAAAATCAGTCCTGGAATTAAACTATAAGCGAGAGAATTGCTCAGCATTATATGCTCTCTGTAATGGGCTATTATTCAAATTTGCTTTTTAATCCGAAGCCAAAACCGTGTTAAAGAGGTGACAAAGAAAAATAGTGTCGAAAACCAAATGATAACGAGTTTTATTGAAGGTATGGATTAAAATATCTCAGAAACTAAAACCCGGACCTGCATACAGTAAGACAGGAAAATATTCAGCTTTTCATCCTCTTTATAATGAGCTATTATTTATAATTTATATTTCATATTATTAATCTTGCCTTGTTGATGTTTTCACTTCTACCGTGTGGTCTAAAGCACACATCTTAGTTTTTTTTTCTTGTTTAATTTATTGAATAGAATACTTTTCGGTGTTTTTTATTTTAGATTAGAGATAATTTCAAGTAGGTAAATAAGTAAATAAGATAAGCAGCCTTGAATAAAATGCTATGAAAATTACTGACTAGATCTGAAACGAAAAGAACGAAATTGATATTAAGATTATTTATAAATTATTTATTTCAAAATCACTTACTGTATACAATATACAAATGTATTACGTAAACAGAAAAAATGAAGATTTATATTTATTTAGATAAACAAAACAACTTTATAGCACAGTTTTCGTATAATTTTATTTTAGATATTGCGATTATTTCTTTTTAAAATATAACAATATTAAAAGGATGGAAAAAATTGTCTCGATTTGCAGTTAAATTTTTTTAAAATTTTTTTTTTTTTTTTTTAAATTAAAGATATTTTTTAAATAAATATATTCATTTGATAATTAAAAAAAGATTAACAAACTTTGGCTGATAATTCTGATAATTTTTTTCGTCCTTATAATTTTAAAAGTCTACTACTTACCTATCTGGAATCGAGTTGAAGTGGCTCTATCCAGTCTTCCGACGGCAATACTTCCTAGGTGTATTCTTTTATCGAACCTTTTCAACCAATAAACCTTCTTACATTCTCGATTTGTTTACTCCTTGTTCCTCTGTTCATTCGTTCAACACGAGATCGCAGCCCTCAAACCTGTTTATTCCTTTCCATAGAACTGTTTCCTTTAAAAAATCCGTTGTCATGTGGGCTACCTTGCTTTGGAATTCCTTACCAACCTACATACTCAAATCATCATCCTTGACCTTATTTAAACATAATTTATGTATCCATCTCCTCAGTAATCAATCTTCCGAATATGTGTAAAATAAGGTTCATGTTCTTCAGATCAGTCAGTCGCTTTAATGTTATCTGGCAGATAATTTATATCACCCACATTGTTTTGTGTATAAATATCTGATTTATATCAGACTCGCATATCTGAATTTACCTATGATTTCATATATCTAACAGTGTCTTTTCTTGATTGTAATCTTAGATCTAGACTCAAACTTTCTATTGAAAACAAATTACTTATCTACAAGACAATACTGAAACCTATATGGACATACGGACTTGAACTGTGGGGGACAGCAAAAGCTTCTAACATCAAACGTATTCAATCCTTTCAATCTAAAGTCCTTCGAACAATAGTTGATGCTCCGTTCTATGTAAATAACAAAATCCTACACCATGACCTTAATATCCCATTTGTCCTAGACCTTATTCCAGAAAAATTCTCCAAATTTCACCAAAACCTTACCTATCATCCAAATCCCCTTGCACAATCTCTATCCAGCACCACCCATCCTTACAATCCTCCTCGAAGGTTGAAGCGGCAGTGGCCCAGAGACCTTTTGTAAATAAGCATCTATTGGAGTTTTGGCAATGGCCAGATCCTCCACTCAAGCCCGAGTGTGTATGATTAGGTTAGTTCTTTTGTTTATATACATTTATTTTATTTTACTGTATTTATTTTAATTTTATTTTATTGTATTTATTATTATTAAGTTTCTGTATTATTTTTTTTTTTTTATTGTAAATAGAGTGTGAGTGTGCTTTCTCTGATCACTATTATAAATGTCCTTGATGTGACAGAATGTAATATTTCTAAATAAACAAATATATACAAATGAAAGATCTAGACTATCATGTAATTTAATTTATTCCTAATGCCAGACAATTGCCATTAAATTGTAAGATTGTAGTTATTCTAAAGGGACTTAGTTCCAGAATAAAATTTATTTTTCTTCGTCTTCTTTCTTCTTCTTCTTTTATCTCTATAATAATATTCTAATGAGAATTTTTTTTTTTTTAATAAGATGTTACAGATAATTCGGTGTTTATTAATTATTAATATTTCTTGTATTTTTCATAATAACAAAACAATTAATGGAATCTTATAAAATAACAAGTACAAGGTGTGCAGTTGTACCTTGCAATAATAAGATAATTATATAATATCATAAAAAAAACAAAAAAACGAATATTATAAAGAATTGTCTAATTGTTTTCTTAGAAACAAAATTTTTAGAAATTGAAGAAGAGCTAGTATAGGATTTCTGTTAACAATGTGTATTTATAAGAATAAAACTTTTAAATACACAAAGAATATTACACCAATTAGAAAGTAACTTATAATTTATTATTTTTTACTATGACTGTTTATTTACTCTTCATTTTTATTTAAGTATTTCTGAGGCTCTTTCACCCATATTTAGGTTTTCTTTTTTATTATTCTAAAGGGACTCGTCCCAGAATAAATAAAGTATATATGTAATATATAGTAAGTTACTCTAGTTGCGATCGTGAAAATTTTCGAATCTGAGTTTTCAACGGAAATACAAGTGTTGAGGTCCCCTGAGTCCAAATAACCAAGTTCCGCAAAATGGTCTGTGTCTGTGTTTCTGTGTGTATGTGAACACTCTAGTTCAAAAACGAAAAGTCGTACGAAAATTAAATTGTGTATTTACGGTTTTTGTATAATTCTGATGTGACAGCAACTTTTCCCTTAAAATTGACTCACCGGAAGTGCCACTTTATGTCAACGGTGAAACACATTTTTACACTTTTCTCAAAAATGGCTCTAACGATTTTTGTCAAACTCGATGTATCATTGTATAATTAAGTGATCTTTAATATCATTCAGGTAGTATGCTCATTGATGTCACTTTACAGGGCTTAAATGGCCAATGTTCATATACGTCTTCCTCTGAAGTACTTTTAGTATGGTTTATTTAAAAAAATTAACTCTCTTTTATTGACAGTAACTACAAAAAATGGCTAAATATGAAGTTTGAGCAAAGATATGGTCCCTATATGTTTTTTATATGTTATATTGCAAAGGTTATGTCCTTTGTTTTGTTTTTTGATTTTTGAAAGGGTCACTGAAGTAATGCTATTTTTTTTTAGAAAATTACTAATGATAAAAAAAGTTTTTTGACGAATAATACAAATTTATTACTTTTTATTTATTTTTCTTTGTTACTACGAAGGTGATTTTACTTTATATGTATAATTGTTTGGAAATAATAAACCATTCTGAAATAATTGACAGCGTGTTTTTCTTAGCCTGGAAGATCAGCTATTGAAATACAAAATTTTAACTTTGTGGAATGAAATCCCTTGTACTGCATAGATAGACTGTACGAATCTACCTATTTTAATGAAACTTGCCTAAAGTCTTCTTCTAGATTCCTTTTAAATATATGTATAGAACAAATCCCACCGAAAACTACTTTCCTTTCAATAAGGCGACTTGGAAGACCTGTGTCATACATACGGTAGCGCCTGAAGGAATGTACCGATATTAATGAATCATGGCAAAAGTATTCTCCTCATTGCCCTGTAAATGTATTTATACAACATACTTCACTGAAAGAAGCTAAAAAAAAAGTTACAATTGATGGTAAAATTAGATTTATGAATATTGCAAAAAGTATACACTTTTTTATAGATGTTGTATTGATCATTTTAAAGTTTGGGATATTAAAATAATCGTTAAAATCTGACAATTTGGAGCAAAGATAAGGCGTTTTAAATATTTTGTATATGTTCTACTAAAAAATGTATATCATTTGTTTTGGTTTTTAATTTGTTGAAAGTGTTACATCAAGTGAAGCTGTATTGTTTTTTATTTTTTTTATTTTAATTTTTCTTAGAAAATTACCAATGATGAAAAAAAATATTTTTAAGCCAATATTAGGAATCATCTTTTATTTATTTGCCTTTATGTTACAAGGAAAGTAATGCTACATTTGATGCATAATTATTTGGAAATATTAAACCATTTTGTAATAATATGCAGCGTTTTTGTTATTATTACTATAAATTACAAAGAACTGGATTTTCAAAAATGTGCCTCCTCAATGTATTAATTCCAAAAATATAAGACAATTGTATTAAAAAAAAATGTATAAAATAACCCTTCCTGCTTCCACTGTTTATGGTAATAAACCTTCCCAGCCAAATGAGTGTACATATCATTCACACGAATGATTTTCCGATAATGATTGCTTTTTTAAACAGATTTCACTAGCTGTCAGGATTTCCTTATTCATCCATGCCATTTTATGAATTTCGTCTAGCCCTTGAGAATCCTTTCTTCTTCCCACAGAATGAGGATAATCTTTTGGGATTCTCTGGTTGTATTATGTTCTTTCCTTCAGCCTTGTAACTATTAAGCTTTTCAATAATAAGCTTATGGCTGTGAAGAATTTATATAAAAAAAACATATAAATAATCAAAGAAAAAATAGCTAATTAAAGCTTTGGAGGTATCCCAAGCCTTCAATTGAAGAAAAATTATTCCATGAGAACAACCATGTTTATCATTAGTTTTTTATACTTGAGATTTCAAACATTCACACAGTTTTCATAAAAACTGTTGTTGAATGTTTACATAATACTTCTGATTTTCTTAATTATTAACTCTTATATATATTGTAATGTTTTCAAAAGGAACAAAAACAAACAAACGAGTTTCCTTTTTGAATATCTATTTATTTTAACACATAATATACATCTTTAGGTCGGGTTCTGAAAACTGAACACTCTGAACTGAACACATTAAATAACTATAATCTACTAAATTACTAAATACATATAAAGAAACGAGATACATACATTAAGAAATTATACTTCAAAAACCTTTATTGTCCCAGTCTAAACTTTGTGGCTGTTTCTATTTTCTCAAGTTGCTGGCTAGTACCTTCTCTCTTGACAGCTTGTCCCATCTTCTCTCTTGGCCGCTAGCAACTTCCCTCTTGGCGGCCCGTCGCAGTCTCTGTCACATGAGCTTGCTTCCCCCACTTCTTTCCCGTAGTTCATGTTCTTGCCACTTTCGCGCCACTATTTATATACCATGTAATGTTGACATTACAATATATATAAATATATATATACATATATATATATATATATATATATATATATATATATATATATATATATATATGTATAATGGCATAGTGTGAAACTTCCCCATCGTAGGACAGAAATAAGTCAACAACAATGATGTGGATTCTTCAGAATATGAAGATTTTTGGATATCATAGCTGCTCTGAAGAATAACATAAGTCCTTGTTTGGATATTATAGATGCAAAGATGGTGAAGAGCTGCAGAGAATCATTGTTAAAAGAGATCTACAACTTAATGATGGAGGTCTAGATTACACAGCAGATGCCTAAAGAATGGACAAAAGTCCTTATTTTAAAAAAAAAGGATTGAAAACAAACTGTGAAACATTATAGAGCCATATCATTGTTAAGTACCTTATATAAAATTTTCGCAGGTCTGTAGAATAAAAAAGTTCAGGTTTTGTCCTAAATTTTGAAGGTGTTGTCATGTAAGGAATAATAAATTATAGATCTGTTTCATTTAACAAAGATCACGGTGTTTGAAAAAGTCATAAGATTATCATCACCTATGGTTTGCTTGGGTGATTTCTAAGGCTTCAGAAAGGAAACTATTCATATGGGAGAAAAATGCTCTCTGCAGGATCTATGGCCTGTTGTGCAAACATAAAGAGTGGATGATTCGCACCAATAAAGAGCTATGCATAACAAAAGTTGATGTTGAGTTTGTATCAAAAAGTTTACATGAATGATCATGGGAAGCCAGATTTCGTTTCCATGGTGAGGGTATTTATTATTAACAACAATAAAAAATTATAATATAAAAACAAAATCATATTTATATTTACAGTTTATTTACAATAATTATTTTATCTTTTTTGGGTGATGAACTACTTTTTCATAATTAAATATGACTGCTATTTTCATTTAATGAATTAATTAAAAGTTAAATCTTGTCTACATCAAACATACCTACATGTTATCTTGATAATCTCAGTTTTAATCTCTAAGACATTTTTTTTTCTTATTTGTCATTCAACAATCTCCAAATGTGAGTTTTCTGGGTCTTTCATGTATTTATATTTGTGTTCTTCAAATAGTTTTACAAGTGCTTCTGTATATACTGCATGATAATGATCAACCTGTTCTTGTGTAGGCTCTGCAACTTTTGGCATATGTATCGGCTTTCCAACTGAAATAGAAATTGAATTTCATTTAACTTTTTTACTATTTTGGTTTTGTTAAATAGATTGGTATTAGGTATATATAGACTAAGAATAATATATTACTTAAAATGATTATCAATTAAATTAAAGAATTTAATTTTATTCAAACTCTAGAAAGAGAAATTCTTTATTGAAAGTAATGCTGCCCTATTACACAGGGTTGCTTTACGTACAGCATACCAATCAATCCATGTGGACATAATTTTTACATTACATTATTACACTACTGCATATATATATCTTTCATTTTTTATTTTTTTCCTTTCTTTTCATAATACTAGTCTCATAAATTATCACTAATAAACATATTTTTTTTTTTTTTTTTTTTATGAATAAATGAACTTTCCTACCTTTGGTAGAAAAAAAATGTACATTTATATAAAATTGAATCTGATTTATGAAGAATTGTAATTTAAAACACATTAAATTACTACATGAATCATATATTACCAACAGTAGTTAAAGGAACGCTTTTTGGAACACAGAATAAGCCATATTGACCCATGGGTAGTGCCATAACTGCTCCGGTTTTCATTTTAATCCATTGTTGAACTGTGTAAAGCCAAGTTCCTGGTTTTGGTTCCTTCAGTTGGAAGAGATCATTTTCTCCAAAGTGAAATACGGGCACTAAACAACACCTAAAGTGAAAAAATCAGTCACCGACTTGAAAAAAAAAATCAAATATAGTCAACTAATAGTCACCTCAAAAGAAAATTTTAAAAATTTAATTTATTTCATGTAGAAGGTCATGTATTTTTCATTATTAGTTTATTTGCAGAAAACATTCCACCTAATATTTATGCTTCTGATGAAAATTGTGAATCAAAACTTATTTGATACCCAATGGTCTTCTACAAATAACCCCCTCTTGCTTTATCATTCTTCTAGAAGTTCCTTTTATGGTTTTCATCAGTTACTGTTTTCTCTTATTTTTCTAAATATCTCTTGTTTGATGCATGTCGTTCAACTGATTCACTTGATCTCCTTCGTTTGACCTTCCTACTTTCTTCTTTTCAAAATATTTTTTTTTAGCTGTTCCACTCCATTAGCTGTTCCACTCTGTAGAATTTCCCTTATCAACACTGCTTTTCAGAAGTTGTTTTTTTCTGAGCAAATCTCAGACCTTTTATCATCATGCCTATGCATGATTTCTCAAACCTTGTGGTTTTATATTGTCTTTTGTTATAGCCTCCTCTTTGGAACTTACTCATAAATTAAAATCTATTAGAAAACTTGCCATGTTTTTAATGTGGAGTATATTTTGAAATTATAGAATATTTAGTATATCAAGTTTGTTTCTCTGATACTTTGTTTCATCCAACGTGCAAACTTTTTATTTTCTTATGAAAGTGAAAAGTTACTTCATTTGAAATTAATTAATGTTTATCTTTGGGCATCAAGAAGAGGCCAATTAGCTTCGCTTCAGTACACTTTGATTCTCATCATTTCTCTGTGTACTGTGGGCAAGTTTTGGTCTACAAATTTCTGATAATGTTCAAAGCCCAATTAAGTACTTTGTTGTTAAAACTATTGGCAATGCTGACACTTTGGTGCAGATTCGTTCGTCATTAGATATTTCTGGGTAAGGCAACAGTGCCCTAATGAGAATCAAGTTATGACTAGTTCCTCTCTTCTTGACTGTATGGAGCATAAATTAAACTCTTTTTTTACAGTTGGTTAGACAAATTGAAGTTTATTCAACATTTGATCGGTCCACAAATTTTACCATCTAGTCCACATGAGTTTTCTGAGAGGAGGGAAAATGTCTGCATTACAGAGGCATGGTCATTCAACTTTTTCTAACAAGTATGCTTCTGTTTTGCTCAATCAGCCATCTATCTTATGACATCATTTCATGAACTTGAAAAAAAAAAAATAGAGCAGTGCAAATTATTATTTCATTGAATACATTCTACCTGCAGTGAATCTATCATTTAATGTGATAAACAATTTAAGTAAGCTAAAGATTGCATGTTAAATCCTGGGTGATAATTTCATTAGAATGCAAAACATAAGTATTTATTAATTTTCATGAAATCAAATCTCATTTTATGTTATAAAATCCTTACCCTACGTTCAGTGCTAATTTTATGAATCCCTTCCTCTTCTTTAGTATAAGTTTATTCTTTCCCGGAATGGTATAAATAACTTCTTCTGCTCCACCAATCATCAAGATAACAACATTGCCTTTGATAGAATCATTGAGTAGGTACTTTAGGGTTCTTTTTGATGAAGATATTAAACCTAACAAGATAGTGCTAATAAATTATTACTAATGAACACTTACAATTTAATTAATTGAAAAATACATTTGTTATGTTAGACTTGGATCTAATATTTGGACTTTTCCATAAAATATTTTGAAATTTGGAGCGATACGAAATTGGCTAAAGCTTGAGATTAAAAAAAAATACTTATAATTCTAAATCAATTTTGAAGAACTAAAGTCAAAATCATTAATTTATCTGTAGTTTATCTATAATAACAAGACTCTGTAACATTTATTCAATTCTTACAAAATTAAGATGTAATTTAGTTTTTGTTTTAAAAAATCTTACTATTTAACCATTTTTTATTAATCTTAATTTTAACTAATTTTTTGAATTACCACGTTCAAAATTAGCATATCACTTTATTGTTTCACTACAAATTCCATTTCAAAAGCTCTGGGGATTATGTTCTTTTTTGATTCACTATATAATATTCAATTACAGAAATTACACATTAAAAGTAAAAAAATAAAATATTATTTTAAAAAAATAATCCTGATTAGTTAGAAATTTTCATCAGCATTCAGACTAGTCTTCTGTTGTACCTTAAACAGATTAACTAAGGCATCTACCAGAATAGCATTTTTGATTATTTTACTAATTCCATTTTAAAATAATTACCTGTTGTAAAAAATTCTTCTGAATTATAAACAAACAAGTTAAAATGAAGATATTAAGTTATTTGTATTAAATAGGATTTCAGCTTAAAAATTAAAGTGGAGTACTGATATTGAATAGAAGTATAGTAATATTAGAAGTAGAATTCATTGTCAGTTTTTTTGAGATTTACACAGAACTGAAAATAATCTTTATAAGCAAGTGAAATGTCAACTCGTGTATAAACTTATTTTATAACATTTTACAACTATAGAAGTGGGTAATTAGAGGCTTTATATGTGTCTGAGATGTTGCTGAGATTGACAAAGACTATACAAAATGGCCTTAAATATTGGGTCCTAATACATCTAGGTTGAGTCATAATTCAGAAGTATCTGAAGCTTTCAAAGGTTGAACTGGCTTACGGCAGAAAGAGGGACCCTCGCCATGTTGATCAATTAACCGCTGGAGAAAGTGTTAAGAACATTACCACATGAAAATGGAGGGATGTATATCAGAATGAATCATAAAACAGTTTGGTATGAAGGTAATATAGCTGTTCTTATAAGCAATCAAGAGGACATTTTTTTACAAGATTTTTTTTTCACTTCAATCTGTGCTTAGGATAAAATTACATAACTGCGGAAAGATATTAAATTTAATTTAAAAAAATAGTGCATTTTAAGAATAACTTTTAATTCTAATTAGCATGGTTTCTTATTTCTATTTTTTTCTTATAAATTATAGTTTAGAACTAATAATCCTTGATATCAAGGAGACAATGTCAAAACACTTGCACACAGAACCACCGTTTCGAAGACTGCTTTCTCCACCAGTGGTTAAAAAAGCGCATCCTTAAGACAAACAGGTAAATGGTCATGAAGAAAAGAAAAATTTATATGTGCTTAACTCAAAAAGTAGATAATTTATGAATATGTTCCATTATGCACATGGTTTCAAGTTTATGAATTCCCTTCAAAACAAGAAAAAAAATTGATCAAGGACTTACTATCAGTGTTTTTATATATTTACCATTTATTGTACCATTTATATTTTGCATCGTCTTATATATATATTCATTTATTATTTATATTTTATATTTGCACTGTATTATATGTATGCATTATAGTGTTTATATATTTACCATAACTCATTGCGTAATCTCTCAAAAGTGGGTATTTCAGATTCACATCCAGACTAGTCATGAAAAAATTAAGTCCTGGAAATAACTCAGTCCTTGGAGAAGTGCCAAGACAAAAATTTATGAAACTTGCAGTGGAAAGAAGTCCATGAGGATGGTTACAGAAAAGATAATTTTTTTTTGGATCCAAATTTGCAGTTTTTACTAGTTCAAGTGGGAAATAGTCTCGAAGATATTTAAAGTGCGGCAACTCCCTTAGAAATCTAACACTGAAAAAGAAATTATAACTTTTTTTGGAGGGGACAAAACATAAATATAAATTAAGAAATTTAATTAGCCTATTTTTAGAATATCCCTCACAGTGATATTTGTGGTGAGTATCATGGAATGTAGTAATTAAAAAATTACTAGTTGAAACTTAATAGTTGAAAAATTACTAGTTGAGCCATACTCAATGAATGCCAAGTAATTTTGTAATTGAATAATTTTTCAAACCTGTGTTGTGTTTGAGTTTGAAAAAAAATAAATAGAAGAACCAAGAAGAATAAGAAAATTAAATTTTACAATTTATGACATTTAGCCAACTAAGAATAATAATGAACAATAGAAATGTCTTTTATCCAGCATAAAATACATCATTTTTAAATAAGACATGGTTATACTTTACCATTTTGGGCGGGGTAGTACTTCAGCCCGAAAATCCCCTCCCCTATAGATCCGCCTGTGTTAAACTGTAAATGTTTTCAGGGATTTTGAAGGTTTGGAGAGAATGGAGGTAGGTCTAAAGTCTGAAAGTTTGGAAGGAACCGGGACTTTGGTGAGCTGGCAGACTATGACTTTTTTCCAAACAGATCGGAAACTGGAAGTTCGGGATTTGAGGACCGAGTAAGGCAGGTTCTCTGATGAAATATTTGTAAAATAGAAATTTTCTGGATCAAAGGGATTTATTAGAATGCAGTTTGAGGAAAACTGTGTTGGAATAGGATTGACAAAGGATTCAGTTGATCACGAGAAACATGACAAGATGAACAATTTTTTGACTAACAACGAACATATTTTTAAGAATTTTCTATCTAGTCTTAAGATCTGGGGATTGCGATTAGAAAGAGTTGTGCCTTAGCATAGTGCAAGGTGGATGGGTAAGGTTTCGAAGGATTTTGAAAGAGTTGTGATCATCTGTGTTTGGTGTGCATCTGAAATGCCTCCTAGTAGCCTCTGTTCTCTTCATCGACTCTTTAATTTTGGGATTGATCCAGGATGCAATGTTTGAAGACACAGATCTTTGGGGTGCATGTTGATTCAGGAATAGGAGAAGATTGGAGGAAAGACACTCCACCAATATTATCAATGAAAGAATAGGAATAGATGAGTCCTAAGGATCAGGACACTGATTCGAGAAAAGGACTTTTCCAAGGAGTTTTCCAGAGGTCAATAAGTCGAAGTTCCACCATGCTTAGGTGTGAACTTATAAGTCGGGATATTATAGAACTTGATGAGACCATGATAGGAATAGAAGGATTCTGAGAGAAGGATAATAAGTTTTGAGGAATCTATTATAAAAATGTCAAATGAGAACTGATTATGAAGAGTGGGTTTAAAGGGAACGATATAAAGGTCAAGGGTGTGGATTAGATCTGCAAGGTATGATTTGTTGGGGAGTCGGAAGATAAAGGGGTATTAAAGTAGCAGAATATTATTACATTATTCTATATAAAAACATATGTAAAAAGGAAAGACTGTAATGCAAGATCAAAGAACTTGGGGAGGGCGATATGCAGTGACATAGAGAAGGAGAAAATGAATCTGAGGAAATTTCTGCAAATAGCTATTCTAAATGAGAAGAGGCTGACATGTGAAGGATATTTGCTCTTGGACTTTTATAAACGTAGAGAACAGTACCTCCATCTGTTCCGTCTGTTCAACCATGAATAATGGGAGCAGAAGTTCTTCACAAGTCTCCCTCTCCTGACACTCATCATTTAGAATATCTATTCACATAAATATCCAGACTTATTTTTCCTTCTATATAAATTACATACCGCCCTCCTTAAGTTAGGGATGGATACAGAGGAGGAAGCAACGTTTAGTTTGAGCTTGGTTTCTAATACATCAATAATATAATAAAAATTATGAAAAAAATAATTAAGGAATTCACTATAAATGCTGTGGGTTATTGGAAGTTTACGTGAAAAGTTAGTAGGATCAGTGCTGGTCCTAGACATGCGGCGTCCCCGGGAAATGTCATCACCCTCTCCCCCAAAAAATTAAATTACTTTCTTAAGCTGTTTTATATTATGTAATAATTTGAATTTTATTTAATTCAACATTTCTGTAATGTACTTGCTTTATTGATAGACTAAAATTAATTATCTTAATACGTTTTTTTTTTTATTTCTATCAATTGGCTAGCGCCCCTGAAGATAGGTGGGCGCTCCTCCTGGTCGACCTCCCGGGTCTATTGTTTCGGTTACCCCACACTAAGTCCATTACTAAATAGGATACTAGCCATATAAGAAGAAAGGATATACACCAGTGAAAGTTTGTGAAGGAAAAGATCAATTAATAATTTTAACAGTTGTAATTGTGATTTAAAGTTACCAAACATAAACAAAATATGAAAAAAAAAACAATAATGAATTTTAAAATAATAAGTAAAATTTACTACAGAAAAAATAAATGACATTTGAAATTAACATAAATAATTAATAAAAAAAGAGATGCATATTTATGATGAGTGCTCAAGCTTGAGTACAACGAATAATTTGTCTTAGAAAAAAATATTTCTTGAGACGTAATGATTAAGATTATGTCATTGACATACTTTCAGATCTTCCGCTTTATTGATGATTGCTCACTGACCATATTCACATCTGTAACGAACACATCCTCGAGCAAACCAGCCATGCTTGACTTTTCCTTCGGCCTTCTGCCTAGCCAGCCAATACAGATGCCTGTTTCCCGGTGCCGTGTACTCAGAAACTTAAATCTTTCGTCGCACTCCCATCCAAGGTGCCTAGTGGTAAAATCTGACTTTACGGAGACGGATCACCTCGTTCCAAACTGTCTGACGAACAAAGCGAACTACGAGTGGCGGTGGATGAGAGTCTTCTCTACAGCCCACTAGATTCAATTCTTTAGCACTGAGCTGCATCTACCAGGCAGATCACACCCTCAAGAGTTTCTCTGGTATTCGTCGGAATTCATCTAAATTTGAAAGAGTGTGCTAGCTGAGCTTCTTGATCCACCTGATTAAGTCTCACCTCCATGATTTTTATTTTTATTCAAAAGTTATTTTTCAATAATAACTTTCCTAAAATTTCATCTTGCCTTTTGGTTATTAGCTCATGAATTTCAGCTTATCTAGATTTTCGAAAATTATATCCTCATATTTATTTAGCGTATTTTTTATATATTTTGTTCATCGTTAATGTTTGCGATTACGGAAAGCACGGCTGTATTTTCTTTCATACTAGTGCATTGTAGTACGTTGTCTTTGACGAACTGTCCATTCACAAAAATACACAAACATAAGTTAGATATGGTTTTGAATGGAACAAGTCTTTATTGTTTTCGACATTTAATTAAATTTATTCAAAACATATGTAATGTGGACTGATTCTCTTCTGTTCAAGCCTCTTCTTGATCAGATATGTAATTATTTGAGTAGGGTAGTAAGTGAAAGTTGTATGATACGCGCGCAACATTAGATTTTGTTTATTAAAACAGAATTGTTAGACAAATCTAGAGATCTTTAGAATTGAATAAATATAAATTTATAGCCTCAGCATATTTACAATTATAAGTAATTTTACACAGTGAAGGAATAAAGAGTTTTTAAAAAATACTGATTGTAAAATATTTGATTTTACAATAATTTGTGTTGTAATAACAATGTTTTGTGTACTTTTTAATATATACGTTCTTTGTTGTTCTTGATTTTGGCATTTAAAATATTGTGAAATGAGAATTTATCCTATTTTGAGGTTAGCGGGAAAATGAGATCTGATGTTAGTTTTTTAACCGATTACATGAATGAAACTGATAGAAGAAAAAATAAATTTTTTAGATACCTCCGACCGCCTTTGAATCCTGTCTCCCGGTCATACCAACTCCATAATACAATCAAGAGAGTAAAAAGCCAGTACTTTGTAAAGAAAGTTATATACAATAATAGTGGAAGGATTATAAGCTGGCTACAAATGTTCAGCGACATTTGAATCACAGCCAGCACCTGGAGGCATTTCTCGATAAATGTTAATTGTTTGCTCATTCTGAAAAAAATAAAACAAAAACAATAGTATCATGTAATTACTTGAGGTTTCTAAGGCCATGCCTTAAAACATGCGCCAGCACGGCTTCTTATCTGATCAAATAAATATTAAAACATTTAATATATGACTGCAGTCTGATATCATAGTTATCTAAATAAATTATTAAAACGAATCGCTTAAAAATATGTGAAATTTTCTATAATTACAATAATATTCTCGTTTCTTACTATAATTCATGCTGTAGTTAAGAGGGGTTTTAGTTTTCATAACACAGTTAAGAAGTATCATCTGTCTCTTTGTGGTGGTGTCTGCTTCTTTTTGGGAGATATCTTTTTTGGATAAAGGGGGCGAGCGTGCAATGCGTTGGAAATGCACGCGTTGTCTGGCAGCCACATTACGATTTTGAGCCCCGGGCTGGAGATTTAACTGTGACATTAAACCTCCATCTTCTCCGCTGATCCGGGAAAAACCCGTATAGCCGAAATGATGATGTAGGGGAGAAAATAAAATAAATCCTGCGAATAGGCTAATTAAAAAAAATGTTTGTCTCTAATTGAGTTTCCTCTATTGCACAGAGATAGTGTTACTTGTTTCCAACCTCTCAAAACACCTAGAAAGATTGGTGCAATTCCAAGTCTCCAACTTCCTTGAAAAGTCCAACCAACTTGATCCTCTCCAATCTGGTGTCCGTCTCAGCTACTCCACGCAATCCGCCATAATTAAAATCACCAGCGACATTTAAACTGCAATAGATGATAAAAAGTTAACTATCCTTATCCTTCTCGAGTACTCCAAAGCCTTCGACTCCATTTAACGTATTTTCAGCAAACTGAAATTATTATCCTTCTCCAATAGCTCCATCTCTTGATTCCGATCTTTTTTCTCACAACGCACCCAAGCAGTCTCCATACCTAATCAACCACTATCTGCCTACCTTTCTTTATCCTCTGGAGTTGCCCAAGGATCTAACGTATCTGCTCTCCTTTTTAGTTCCTATATTAACGATCTACATGACTCAATTCTCTATTGTTCGCAACACCTTTATGCAGACGATTCCCAGATCTACCTTTCCTTTTCTCCCCCTGAGCTATTGGTAGCATTTACTAAGATCCAAGCAGACCTAGATCGAATCTGTGCCTGGGTAAACTTAAGCGGATTAAGGTTAAATGCTGCTAAAACTCAGGCCATTGTCATTGGTTCCAAGCCGCTTCTTAGATCCTATACCGACTTTCCCAAACTGAACCTTGATGATCAGCCAATCTCCTTCTACTACTCTGTCAAAAATTTAGGAATTTTCATTGATCAAACCCTCCCCTGGAATCACCATATTTCTCACATCTCTCGACGGACAATTTTTATCCTCAAACTATTCCATCGCTTCCGCAATATCCTACCTAAACATACGCGAAGATTCCTGGTTTCCTCTCTCATCTTCCCCTACTTTGACTACAGCTGTGTGGTTTATGATGGACTCTCGGTGGAGCTCCATGACAGACTGAAAAGACTAATGAACAGTTGCGTAAGATTTGTAATTGGTGCCCCGAGATACTCCCATGTCTCTCACCACTAGACAGAGTTAAAGTGGCTGTTCCCTCCATTTGAAGGCAATATTTCCTATGTACGTTCCTCTATCAAAGCATCAACAATCATCATTTTATTTTATCCTTCTTACGCCTACAACCTTCTCCAATTCAAGTCCTCAGTCCACTCCCTTTTTACAATATCTCGACCTTCCGACCTTTACATTCCTTCTCACAGATCTGCCTCTTTCCAATATTACTTTATTGCTCGCTCAGCTAATTTCTGGAATTCCCTTCCTATCAAAATTCGGCATTCTCCCTCCCTATCTAGATTTAAAACCCTCTTATTCCAATTCCTGTCCCAAAAACATTCAGATACCCGCTAACCTTTTATGGAAAATTACATATTATTCATAATGATGTATTTACATATAACTCATCAAATAATAGTAAATACTTACTATCAGATTTGACTTTCCTTTTTTTTTTTTTTTTTTTCAACGGAACGACACAGAGTTTACTGCTAAGAAGAATGTAATGTATTTTTTAGTTTATTTTTTTCTCTAAAAGTTTATGTTTATATTTTACCACTCTACATAGTTTTAAGTGTCTTAGCATGGTTTCAAGTTGCATATAGATTTGTTTTGTTTTTTGTATATAGTATATTTAACTAATATTTTCTTTACTTATTTCTCTTTATTTTTACTTTTTATATTTGTTTTTTCTCTCGGCGGAGCCTGCGTGGCGGATGGGGATCCCTCCTAGGAGGGGTGGTCTGAATACAACGAATAAAGACGCGTGGACCAACAGGTACCCAGTGCTGGGGTGTATAGCCCGTCCACCCTTTCTCCTGAGGGGATACAAATAAAAATAATAAAAGAGCAGGTTTATACAAGTCGCCTTCAATCCAACTCCTAGAAGTTAATGGGGACGCAGATGTTGACACTATTTGGGAGCAAATCAAATTTAGTATACTCAAGACAGCCGAGGAAGTATGTGGTGTACAGCAAATAAGACCACCTACTAAGAAAACTAGGTAGTGGAGCGAGAATGTGAAACGAGTCATAACTGCAAAGAAAGAGGCCTGGAAACAGTACTGTAGAAGCAACTCGCCAGGCGATTGGGCATTGTACGTAAAGAAAAAGAACCAGTCTAAGAGAATAGTTAAGAATGATAAGAGAAAATCTTGGGAGAAATTCGGACTAGAATTGGATAAAGACTACAAAGAAAATATAAGAAAATTCTGGCACATCACAATTGGAAATTTTGTACAAGGAGAACACACAGAGCAATAGTGTAATACTGGAATATGAACCAACACAGGCTTTGTTGTACGCAGATGATGTGGTATTGGTTGCGGATACTGCTGAATCACTCCAGGTCGCTGTGAATGAGTGGCAAGAAGAACTCCTACCTGGGAACAGTGATTGGCAGGGATGGATGAATAGACCAGGAGGTCATGAATAGAGTCCAAAAGGCCAATGGAATATACTACCAAATATCAATGACACTCATTGGAAAGCAGGAGTTGAGCAGAAAAGCGAAGATTCCGCTATTCAAATCAGTTTTTCTCCCAGTGCTACTATCCGGATCGGAGAGCTGGACACTCTTGGACCGCCATGCCAGCAAGATTGTCTCTGCAGAAATGAGATTCCTACGGAAAATATAGCAAAAACCAGGCGAGATCGAATAAGGAATGAAAGGGTGTGAGATGAACTAGGAGTTAGATCTGTCCTAGAGACGATTGAAGAAAGGTAGTCTTACACAGGACAGGGACCGTTGGACAAGATGGTTAAACTCCACGCTTAGCAGCACACAGGAGATATTGAGAGAAGAAGAATATTAGTTTTTATTTAGGCTAGACATAATATTTTAATTTTGTACTTTTTTGTTATTCTAAAGGAACTTCGTCCCAGAGTAAAATTATTTTCTATTCTATTTCTAATATAAAGAACCAATGTCTGAAAAGGTGCTTTTCCAAAACAGGGTGACTGAAACTTCAAAACCCATTGAAAATCGCACATTGGAAATTTTATCTGATTACAGTAAATTTTTGACCTAGTGATAAGAAAATAAAAATAAATCAGTGAGTTTTTAATACCTTATTTTTAATTTACTACTGATATGGATAATTTGTTATTTTAATCTTTTTGCAACAGAATTGAACCTGACATCAGCTTACATTTACTCCATTGCATTATGTTTTTTACTCCTAACTTCTTGTGCCACAAACTAGGATTTACTGAGCTTGGCTGAACTCAACGTGATTTTAAGGCGGAAGATACGACTTGGAGTTTAAGCACGTTGAGATTACAGAGTGCTCAGATCAGAATTGATAGTGATTTAAATGTATTAAGTTGACCAGTTTTTTATATGTTGAAGGATCGTCAAAATAATAGTATATCACTCCCAGAGAACTTCAGTAACTTACAAGTTCGGTTTTCTCTGCTTCAAAGATGACAGATTTCGTTTACGATGACCTTATTATAGGAAGAATAGGGGAGGATCACGCTAAGCGTTATGAACTGTGACTTTGAAGTGGTATTTATAGTAGGCCTGTTTCTAAAATAGTTTTGATTATCAGAACATTGACAGGCGCATGATACGGTACAGCTTTTGGAATGGAAAAATAGTACTCCACACGTGGCTGCCATTTTGATGATCATAACAGATCTTGTATACACATCAGTAAATCACGTCTGTTCTAAAATATTAATTCAGACTATGTTCTATTGAATGAAAGAACTACAAATAAATATAAAAATCAATTTTCAGACTGCAGTTACAAATGAAACCAATTAAAATGTTAATAATTTCTTCAGCGGAGAATTGCCAAACATTAAGTACTTCCTTATTTCACACAGTCAATTAAAACGGTTATTGGTGCCGTTATTATTATTAAACACTTAAAACTTACCTCTAATTTTCAAATCGATGTTTTCAGACTCACGGGAAAAGAATAACTGAAAATATAAAATTGAAAAGAATCTTTCACTTAAGTTTATACTGTTGTGAAATCCATTGTTTGTTAATTTAGTTATTTTTTTTAATACTTTAGTGTGAGAAAAGTTAACTTTTCTGTAAAGCAGGTTGTTTCATAATATTTTCATGATATTCAAAACATTAAAAAATTTGTTAAGACTTAAAAGTCACTGTTATATCGTTTATGCTTATTAATAGTAAGTAGGTATATTTAAATAAAATAACAATTTTACAATTAGTGTAACATACAATTTTTTGGGGTCTTAATATTATAAAAAATATTTAAATCTATTTGATTTTTAAACACTACAGGACATTTCTATCCTATAAACTACAAAATCTAGATCTTTGATTAATATGACATTTCGTCCTTGCATAGGCTAATCAAAAAAATTACATTAGTCGTTAACATAAAATTCTTTAATGACACATACCATTTTGAATAAAGTTTATATTATAAAATATTTAGCAGTTTAATGAATATCACTCTAACATAAACACACAACACATAAATAATACATACATAGCAACAATTAATAATTTTACCATAGTTAGTCAGTCAAGTAAAAAATAATCAATGATCAATCAACTTTAACACCATTTATCAATATTATATACAATTAAATGTTGATAAATTTGAGTAAGCAAAAGGCACGACTTTTTGTTTATCAATTTGTATAATTTATAGTGAGAAAAATATTACATAAAGTACTTAATAAACAAAAATGATAAATTTATTATAATTTTCTTATATAAGCAACAAAAGCTTGTATAAATAAAATTAATTTTTGATGGTCTGCTGTTTTCAATTATCCATTCTATATTATGAAAAAATTAAACAAAAACAATAGTTATCATTAGAGACCGGATCTTTGTGCAGTAAAAATCCGAAAAACATGCAGCAAAAAACTCAAAATGTGCAAAATCGTGCAGTAAAAACTACAAATATGTAAAATTGTCTCATTAACACCTAAAAACGTGCAAAAATCATCTATTTTGTTTAATTTTCACCATTAACACATCGAAATCTTATCAAACCTTATGTTAAGCTTCTGAATTAAAATTTGTGTAACAAAAATAAAATAAAATGCAACATTGAAAATTAAAATCCATAAAACAATCAACTAACGACAACAATACATAACCTAATACAACATTAATACATTAAGATTAGCCTAAATCTTTAAAAAGAGAAATAAAATAAAATAAGGATTTACATAAAAAATAGATAATTTACAAAACAAATAATTAAATATATTTATATTTGTTTAAATTCCCCTTAAATTGATTAATTGACTGGCTCATACAAAGAATGAAATAACGTAAAGGAACTAGATAGGTTAAAGGTGTGAAGGATAAGTGTATGTTATACATAATTCTTTTCAGATATTTAATCATAATTAAAAATAACATACGTACATACATAATTATAAACTGTCCACATTATAATGAAAACTTTATTTTTTAATCGAGTTGAGATTTACAAAGTTATATGTTTCGAAATTTGTTTCTGAAAAATTGTTTCTCCTATGTATTGATAAGTCTTTTAATTTAGAAAAAGAGCATTCAACATGAACTAATGTAAAGGCGGAAATCTACTGAGGCAACACTGAACGACATGTTGCTTTTTACCTGTTTTCTAGTGTTGGCTATTGTAGCAAAAAAATTCAATTGATGTCGCATGCGGACTTGGTTGCCCCACATTGCATGCGCTTTGTCGTACAATTGTGTAGCATGCGACTAAAGCGATTCCATTTATAAAACTTCAGTTTGGTACATAATGACATTACGAACAGTCACGACTGCTGATTATTTGGTAATCGCTTTGAATCATAAAAGGAAAAGAAAAACACCATGACATTGGAGAAGGGAGCTATAAATCGATGGTTAAGAAATTTGATATAATTTAATATTTCACGCTTGAAGAGTAGTGGAAAATTCATTTTAGTTCGAGAGTCTGTAAGAAAAAATCGACATTATTTGATTAAAACTTTAAAAGTCTGCCAGTCGGGTCGGCTACCTGTAAAAATGGCGGCTGATGTAAAGAATATTAGAGGATACTTACTTGAGGATCGAAACGGAAAATTCATTGCGTAAAGTTTTTATTTTTTAAACTTGTATATAAGGGTTCAGCCATGTAAAAAACAGGATAATGAGGTATAAAAAACAAACGAATTACATGAAGAAATAACGAATCCCGATTCGAGAAATAGAATTGATCTATATTAAAACTGTTAGTACTCGGTGGACGCGGAATTTGATGCCGTATAACTTCTATTCTGTGAGTTTTTCTCTTAGAGAACTCATTCCCAAGCTGCAGTTCCATTTATAGTCATTTGTCTGTTTTTCACAAATTCGGTAAAAAAAATCAGCGTTCTTTGACTGTGGTTAACGAACATACGGTTTATTTTTGAGATATAATTTTTTCTATTTCACTATTGATTTTTTAAAGGTTTTCTTCTATAGTTTCTATGATTTCAATTTGTTTGTTAAGTGACAAATTTCGAGATTTTAACCGCGTAAATATTTGCGGAAAAGTTGACAAATCGGATATTATTGATGCCGAATTCATGTTAGTCTACGATTCACTTCAAAGCCGAATAGTCCAGCCGAATTAGCACAAAAAAAGGAATCTAGCTTTCAAATGGTCGGGTAATTCAAATTTATTTTTTATATTGCTAAATATGCAGGAACTATAAAGAATCCAAGTTTTCGCTCTTAAAAGCCTTGTGGGTTCGCTGCAATGCTCCAAAAACTATTGGAATTTTATACTTTTTTTTGGTTTACGCTAAATATCTCCTTTTTAAAGCTAGATTTAAATGACTAAATTCAATTTTAAACAGCTTAAAACTATCTAACAATTTTTCCTAAACCCAATAGGAAGCGAACTATTGAGTTTTCAAAATGGGTAAAGTTTTGAAAAAAAAAATACAAAAAATTAAAATTAAGTTATTGTATTGATATTTATTCATTAATACAATAAAATAACAATACAATAATTATAGTACTATAACTATGCCATTTATGAGTACTTAAATGTGTGGCAGAGGACTTCAGAGGTCTATGCCAGTGCCCCTTTTCCGCCGATTAAGTGTATTCTTTTAAGTAACTGTTTAAAATATTTCAAAAAGTAATCAGTGTTTTAGAAATATCCATATATTTCTATTTTATTTTACTCCATATATTTTATTTCAGAGCGTTTTTCGTAATTCATGGCCATTTATCTACAAAAGACGCTTGATTTTCAACTTTAGTTTGAACGACTTGAAAAAATTTACTTTACTGTTGTTTTTTTTTAAAGCTAAGGCCAGTTATTTTTAATATTTTTCCCATTTTATTATTCTCTATCTATTGAGCTTTAATAAAAGGCAAATTAAGCCAAATGTCGAATCTCAGTGACCGAAAAACCAACTCAAGTCAAAGACATCAATCTGGTATATTTAAACGCCATTTTGGGACAATGCGGTCCCTTTTTTTCCATTGGAATGTTGTATTTTTCTTTAATAAATAGTTACAATAAGTACAACTGTATGCAATTTATCGGGGTGTGGTGGGAGCATGTACGTTAAGGTACTATTTCGCTGGCGCGGTCCCCGACCGCGACTGCTCGCGGTTGACCACTGCTTTAGTGGAATAGAAAGGAACCTATTTCGCTGGCGCTGCTCGGCAGTTTAGGTATGACGTCATATCTAAGCTGCTCATATCTGACTCCTCTTGAAGCAGTGGAGCTGCTGGCGGTTCGGCGGTTGTAGGTTATGTTATCATATCGGAGCATTGTTTTGATGATAACAGTCCCGTCGATACGTTTTATTTCCTATGTTTCTTTCAATTCTGGCAAAATTATAACAAATATTGTTTAAAACTGAAACAATGCAATAGTAAATTATTTTTTTGAGGTTGAAGTAACAAGATTATTTATTTATTTATTCCACCAGCAATATTTTACAGCGAAATACAAATATACCTAAATCCAAACGATATTAAATAAATTAAAGAATCCAACAAATTTTATCGTCAGGTAAATACTAAAAACCACCCATTGAAAAATGATTTGTATTTTTTAATTAAAGTGGTGATTTACTGATTACTATTGATAAAACTATAAAACATCGCTTGCTGAGATTTAATTACAAATATAGATATTTATTACTAACCAATTATATATTAATTACTATTATTTTTCAAACTAATAATATGTAATATCAGAGGAACTTTGATGATGAGCATCACATCGAAATACTGATATTCCTTCTCTTTATGAACAACATTTTCTCTTCTTTTTCCAACTCAAATAAAAAAGCGGTAGTCAGAGATGTTCATTATTATAGGAAGTTCATTTTTATTCTTATATTATGTCTATCTTTTTATCTTCAAAGATACAGCGAAATGTTCGAAGGTTATAGGCAGGTTATAACAACCCCAGTGAGCAGTTTCAGCGAAATAGGTAAGCCAACAGCGGTTGGCAGGGGGGAATAGCAGTCGCTGTCGTCGACCGCGCCAGCCAAATAGTACCTTTAGTGGGGTCTGGTCCACCGTCTAACAAATTTTTCAAAACAACTCTCGATTACCGTCTACCATTCCAGTCAATGGCGCATTATCTCCAAAGAAAACCTCCGAATTCTCTGAACGAGATTCAAAGTTACAGAATTCTTCTGTTGAAAACTGAAAGAGTACTATTGTGAAGAAATCGAAATCAGTAAATTTTGGAAGCTCGATAGTCGCTTCCTATTAGGGTTAGCAAAAAATGACATATACAAAAATGTTAGATAATTTTAACAATTTTTTTTTACGTTACTCTAAAAAGGAAATATTTAGCGTAACTCAAAAAAAATTTAATCTTCAAATTTCGAAGATTAAGAATTCAAGTCAAAACAAGGAAAGCAGTTTTTTTATTGAATTACTTCAGGCAAGTTCTATTCCAAGAATAGTCAGTGTTTACTCCGTCCTTTTGTAACGTTAAATTCTAATCTATGCCAGTACAGAATAATTTATCTTGCTCATATTTTACTTTATAAAATTATAAATTTAACATGGACAAGATAGTAAAATAAAAAAATAAATATTTACACTCACATATATATTTATATTTATAAATCATTTAATCTAGCAAAAAAATAATCGAGCAATTTAAGATACTAAGACTAATCACTTAAGTACCATGGTACGTAGCAACCACACTTTACATATCGACTTACGTTCTGAAGATCAATGAACACAAACGAACTTACTACAAACGATTTCATAATATGTTAAATCGATACTCCAACTAGCTAATATAGGAAATTACCATAACTAGTAAGCTCGAGAAGTCCAGAAAACGACTGAAAAAGGTCTGGATGAGAGATCTATTTAAATAATGCTTTAGTAAATAAAAGTCGTGGAAGGGATACCTCTGGGTATTGATTTTCCTCGTGCATATAAGTCTTTATATATATATATATATTTTTTTTTTTCCCATGAATAAGCCAGCATATCTGCTGATTGTCGATTGTTGTAATTGATAGCTGCAGATAAATAAATGAAAGTGCAAAAAAAAGAAATCCTACTGCTAAAATAATTTTATCTTTTTATTTAAATTTATTACTGTATTAAGTGATAAATACAACAAGTAAATATGAAATAAATAAAGTACAACATGAAGAGAAACTACCCATTGGTAGCACTCCAATTATATTTCTATATATAAGAAGGTCCCGAGGCCATCTTCTTTTCAGATATATCGGAGGGATATCAGGAATAGAAGAGGAAGCAAGGTTAGAAACAAGAGAGTTTGTATGGTTCAAAAGTTTATTATGGAAAGATAGGTATCTGGATTGAGCTAAATCGGAAACATATACGGAAACGTACATTAAGGTCGTTATGGATGATTTTATTTGTAACAAAGTAGGGAGCATTGAGGATTTTACGAAGGATTTTGGATTTTAAGGATTGGATACGAGAGGAATTCGATAATTTAGTAGAGCCCCAAAGCTCGATCTCGTAAGTCCAAATAGGCCTTATTATAGTAATATCTATCAGTCTTTTGCAAATAATTGGAAGTTTAGTTTGTCTAGTAAGTGCTGCAGTAGTTGAAAACGTTAAACGGTTTCAAGTCGTTTCAGGCTGGTATGAGTGTTCCAAGTGAGTCGCTTGTCCAGGTGGAGTACTAGGTATCGGATTTATTCAACAGCTATAAATGGAGTAAAATAAAATTCATTGAAAAAGTTGAGAGATTTTAAAATTCAGATGGTTCTTAGAATTAATGGATGGAGGATGGTGACAAGACATATTGTGTTTTAAATATTTCGTCGCGGTCATGAAGAGCCGGTGTAGTAATGAAGTCCCTATGGGATATTGCCTTTTAAAACCCTAAAATAATGTACCGTTTTCGAGATAAACTATAATTCTAGCCCCTATGGTTGCTATGGAGTACTTAACACATGCTTTAAGGTTTAAAAAATTGAAATATTGCTATTTATTGAAGAACAGATTTATGAACTATTGGGCCCGCTGGATAATATAGAAACAATTTGGATATTTTTAATAAATAAAAACATACTCACATATGGCTTCTATAATCTCAGTAATGGTAATGTTCTTTGTATCTGATAGAATTCCAAACTAAGGCTCCTCTGCAACAAACATGTATCTTATTTATTGTGTATGACGTACAATAATGAATTAATATAAACCCAAAGTTGTGTTTAATTGCTTAGCTATCAAATTGGAGGGATACTTTTCAATGGGACAAGCTTATCACTTATTATGAAAATTGTTACTTTAGCAGGGTAGGTTTTAAATTATGTTGCATAGACTATCTTGATAATATTACATCGTAAATACCAATAAACATTATGTCGCTTATAGGTAAAAGACATTAGTTAAAAGAATAGCGATCTATTGTGAATAGTGTTGTCCAAATGCGAGACCGAGACGGGTCTTCGTCTTGCAAACTCATTCTTGGCCATGCGCAACTATCTTGCAGTTACCTATTAGCTTAGTACTATAGAGATATTACTGTAATTTTTTAGATAGGAGAAACCTAACTAAGCCAAAATGAAAACAATAGAAGAGTTAAAAGCAAAAGTTTATTGGTTATACCAATTCTTTACATATAGTACTTAAATTGTCAAGCATTAGTAACTATTTTGCCTTAATTTTTATTTAAAAAATTGATTTTTTTTACCAGTCTTGGTCGTGGCTTTGCAGCAGTGAGGCGGTCTTAGTATTGATTTGGCAAAGTGCAAGACCAAGACCGATTTTGGGCAACACTAATTGAATCGGTGTGTACAGAAATCACTTCAGTAAAAAAAAAAAAAAAAATACGAAAATGGTTTTCGATGAAAAGAAGTTTAGAAAGGCAAGATGCAGAACCACGTTATTCTGTTGAGTAGTTCCGTAAATGCATGACGTATTTTTCAATCATTGAGCGCAGAAAGAACATGAGTCAGTGACTGATATTCAAAAATATAAACATGAATACTACTTATATTTATGGTACTTATGAATATAAATATAAATATATTTGTATTCATAAAAAGAAATATGAATGCATATCTACACAACTATCAGCTGCTGAAACCTGTTTTCCGGAATGTCGATATTGATTTTCCTTCAAGTATAATAATAATTGCAGCCTATTCATCAGGGGAAAAAATAGAAGAAGGTTCTAATCAACACAAAGAAAATGGAAGACATGAAGAAGATGATTATTCATATTCCTGAAAAACTCAAAGTTTTTTATAATGTACTATTTAGCTGGCCAACCACAGCACGTAACAATGATATAATCGTCGAGAATGATCTTTAAGAGCGTTTAACTTTTTTATATTCCCGTTTTATGATGATTTTGCAATACTATAACTTCATTTTTGATATAATACGAAAAAATATAAATTTTTGAAATTGTTGTAAAATAAATTGTTGATTAATAAATACAAACTTTTAATGAATGATTACCTTTTTCCAAGTTTTTAGCTGTCTGTAAAAACAGTTGAGTGCAGAAACAGCATAAGTCCAAATCAAATTTTCCTGAGCCTAATGTATTTCGAAATTAGGTCAGTTTTGCACGACAGCAACACAAATACATTTTATGACAGAGAAAAAAAAAGTTCAAATATTTGGAAAAATTTGGAGGAGTGGTAGTGATCCCTCTCCTGAAATATTTGAAATTTGAGACTGAAGTGGTTTTTGCGCTCACTGAATCAATTGTGAAAGCTATACTATAACATAGATAATGGAAACACCTATTCCATCAATAAGTAGGGTCATAAGTGAAAGTTGTGTGATGTGTGCTTTGATGGAACTAGGGTTTCCAATTTCAAGTCTACAAAAGTTCGTATAAAAACTATTTCTGTAAACTAAATTTTACCATATTATACAAATTTAGGTCAATGTATAAAAAATGAATTTATCATCAATCGGTTGTACTGTTTCCTTTTTATATCTACGTTGTATAATGAAATTTTATAAAAATCGTCCTATTTCTTTAAGCCGGCCTATGCTGTCTTTAAATTTGAATATCAACGCATTGCCCGGTTTGGAAAATGAGAAATCATAAAAAGCCCAATAGGCGACAGCTCAAACTTGATCCTAGGGTCTTATCGAGTTATGAAGGATACTACGTCACTAGATACCCCCACCATGGGATCCGTGACGTAGCAAGCCGATGATGCAACTTGTGGTCTGTTCAGTTCAGTTAAGGTTGGCTATTATTACTCTCAGTTCCAACGTCCTTAGCACCTCAATGGAGTTTAATGGAGACCCCTCTATGAAACATGGTCTTCGTTATCATTCATAACAAGGTAAGGTTATCAATTTTACCTTGTTATGTATTATTTAATAATTATTAGATATTTTTAGAAATTAATTTAACTTCTCCATTTAAGATGAAATTCGAAATATACGACAAAGTGAATTTAGACAGAATACTGAGATTCATTCATATTTTTAAAAGTTAGAAATATCATTTTTTTCATATTTATTAAAGGTTAAATATGATGTAATGACAAAGTGTAAGTTAAACACATGATATATGTGTGTTTCATTTAATGAACAATATTTGCAATCAGAGACATATTTTTTTTTTTAGAAACGTATATTAGGTTTGCTTATTTGTTGTCAATTATCTGTCCCAATATTTATTTGTGCATTTAGAGAATGTAAAACAAACTTTTATATTGTATACATGAGAAAGAATGCTTAAATTAGATTTTTTTAAAATAAAAACTGTTTTATTGTATTTTTTATTAATTTTATACTTACTTAAAAATTTAGGTATGCCTGCATCTAAGATGTTTATTTTCATTATTATTTTTTTTGTTTTAAGATAATTTTAATTCTATTTTATTCATTTATTTTCATTCTATTATTACTATTATTTATACTTCCTTCCTTCACTATGATATTTTATTTTGTTCTCATCTAGCTTTATATTATTTGAAATTAGCTAATTTTTTTTTAATTTGTAAATATGGTGTGAATGTGCTCTCAGAACTCCATTATAAATGTCCTTTATTGAGACAGATTGTAATATTTATCAATAAACAAATAATCCAATGAAAAAAAACAACTTAAAAATGTATTAAAATTTATAATAGACAACAAAAATAAGGTAATCGGTTGATGACTTGAAGAATTCCTAGTTTAGATTACTTTCTTGTTCCTCTTATCAGCATTGCGTCGTTAGTTTAATTTGTGACTTCCGTTGGAACAATGTTCTGTTTTTATTCTTTTTAGTATTTTGATTGGTAAATAATAATTTACAGATAATTGGTATATTTAATTTTAAATGCTCCAAATCAATAGTTCGATTTATTTATGTTTTACAATCTAAGAAAACATTTTATTTCATTGATATTGTCGGCACCTTGTTAAAGGAATGAATGTAAACCTCCGCAGCGTTTCACTATTTACTTTACACGGTGTCGGCGATATAATAACATTTTCGCTGTGTATGTATGCTTTAATTAAAAAAAATTATTTATGTATTATAAATGGTACATTATACTTCAGCAACTTAGTAACATCTAATAAATCAAGGATAGTACTGGACAAAATTTAACACATGCTACAGTTAAGCGGTTTGTATAAGTATATTTTGAATTATTCATGAGTGATATAATATGTATAGTTAATCTGTTTTATCTGAATTAGGGATTGAGGTGATTTTATGTTTATTCTCACATGTCAGAAAATATGGATATTTTTCGAGCGGAAGTTTAATGTTGCTTTTTCTTCGTAATCCCTCTTCCCTCCCCAGTAAAAATCAGCAATTATATAATAAATAATATATTTCGAAATAATTATAATAATGAAATTTCATATACCCGTTTTATTCCCTGAACCAACTTTAAGACAATAATGAAACCTGAAACAAATATTTCTTGCTTAACACAAAAATAAACTTGTGCTTGAAATTTACCTCCCTCTGAATTCTCCCGCTCGTGGCAAGTGTCCACGCCTCCCCCAATGCCGAAGCTGCCAGTCTCCAAACAATTAATATGCCTACAAATCTCATGAACTTTTTCAAAAGCTCGATTTGTATCGTGAGATATGAAAAAAGAAGATTAATAAATAGTAATAATTATATAACATGGCACTATTAATATTATCATTGATTAGACAATTAACAAATAAATAAAATATTGTATCAGCTATGATTATATAAAATACCACTGGTTCATTCAATATAAAACTACTTTTTAAAAATTAATTGGTATCACTTTTTTTGAAGTAATAAATGGAGATATATTTTAGTTTTTTGTTAATTTAACTGATGTGGTAATTGAGACTTGTTTTGAAATTCAGAAGTATACTGATATAAATTCTCATGTCTCGAGAAAGGTCTAAGATGATTGAATCAGAATAGGAGTTAGCCAAAGGGAACAAACAACCATGCTTCACTTCTACTTTAACGGAGCAATCCTTCAGACTTTTCCAAAAATAAATTACTGGAGCAAGCGAAGTCAACCAGCCTCCAGTCCTTGTGGAAACTAACTAAGGAGGACAAGCACCCAACCTTTGTGAAATCATGAAATAGGAATAAGATTGCATACTGGAAAATAAGAACTCCAATGATACTTGAAATCACAGGGAAAAACCTTCTGAAAGAACCTCAGAGAAAGCTTGTCTCTCGAGATGACCTTCGGATAGGTTGGTAGGGAACTTGCCGAAGACGCCTTACGAACTTCATATTAAGCACAAGACTTCAAGAGCAGTTCCGTCCGCATAAATAGAGAGCTATAATTTCAAGAACATATTTACACATATTTTCCTGCATTATATATTTATTTACATTATATATTTATTTACATAACAAAAGAAGATAAAATTTGTTTACATAAAAAAAAAAAAAAAAAAAGAAATTGATTCTTTGCTGCAATTGCCATTTTCTGTGGTTTCATACATTCCTCCCTCGGACCTGTCTCTGCTTGTTCCTAGATTGTTGGTAGAACGCACGTCTTCAGTGTTCCTACGCAGGTCAGTGCCGTTATAGACTCAACAATAACTAATCTTTTATAATGATAAGAAGCTCGGATTGTTTTCGCTCGATTATTTGGAGAAGGTTTGCTATTCTTACCCAAAGGAATATGACAACCTCTCAGAGAATGATTTATCATTTGCTTAGCTAAGCACTTTTTTGATGATCGATACAAAACTTGGTTAAATGGTGCGAAAGTAAATATAAAACTAAACTATGTTCTTAATGCATGCTTAAAAGTTATGTTTAAAGTGCAATATAACCTTTTATCATACTAAAAACCCTTACATTATAAATATAATTTTGATTTTTTTTTGTTCATCCCTTCCTCACATTTTCGGCTGTGCGTATTTTTTCGCGGAATAGAGAGGAAGACGTGGGTTAAATGCCGATCGGATATTCCGCCCTCCCCATTTTTACATATATATATATAGATTTGATATCAATGGTAAAGGTCATCCGAGGATGATCCTCGGAACTCGACATGACAATCTTAACTTCCGTTTCAAAATGGTAGCCAAACTCATGTGGTGCTATAAACTGTAGCACCTAAACGGCTGTAACGATTTTAATGAAACTTGTCTAGAGTCTTCTAATATTTTTTTTTTTTTTTAGCTTTAATGTTTTATTCACACCTGTCATAATGATAATGACAACCAGTGAATGTGAGATCGATTGATTAATAGAATTGTCATGAAAGGCATGAGGAGGATCAGTGCCCAGCGGCACCTCACTCGGCGTGATATCCACATTAGGCGAGGAGGTCCCTCATCCAGCTCCTCCTCAGTCTCCTACAGACGTTACCGGGCATATTCGTAGTGGCCATGTCATTTATAAGTGTATTAGTATGTCCTTGTAAGTTGTCATGGAATCGTTTGTAATGAATACGTATGTGTTCGTTAACAGTCGGCATATGGAGGTCAGTATGTAAGGTTATGTTGCTAACGTACCAAGGTGCTTTTGTAATTGTTCTGAATGTTTTTGCTTGAAAGATTTGAAGTTTGTTTAAGTGAGTCTTTTTAGCAGTTCCAAATATCTGTGATGCGTAAGTCCAAATAGGTTTTAGTAAGTAATTGTATGTGTTCAATTTCTGTCTAAGTTTTAGTTTTGAATTTTTTGAAAGAAGTGAACTCAGAATTCTTAATCTTTGATTTAAAGTTTTCCGTTTTTTGATTATATGTGGGCCCCACGTCATTTTTCTGTCAAATGTCAGACCAAGGTAGTGAACGGTGTCTGTCTGTGGAATCTGTGTATCGTCAAGGAAAACTGGAGGGCACGTTTCATGTCGAAGCGTAAATGTGATGTGCTGTGATTTGTCTTGATTTAGTCGGATTTTCCAAATTTTGAACCAGTCATGTAATCTTGTTAAATACTGTTGTAGGGTCTGTGAGGCGTATGTTGGATTTTTGTGTCTTGCTAAAATTGCTGTGTCGTCTGCATATGTCGCTGTTAAAATGTTGGGACTACAAGGTATGTCATGGGTGTATGTGATATAGAGTAGTGGAGCGAGTACTGAACCTTGAGGTACTCCTGCTGAGATAGACCTGATGGAAGATAGTTCTGACCCGTGTCGGACCGAGAAAAATCTATCGGAAAGGAAGGATTGTAGAATTAGATAATATGTAGGTGGGAGTATTGTCTTGAGTTTAAAGAGAAGACCCTGGTGCCAAACTCTGTCAAACGCTTGAGCAACATCCAGAAATACGCCAGTTGCATATACTTTCTGCTCTAGTGCTGTAGATATGTAGTCCGTTACTCTATGTAGTTGGTGTATAGTTGAGTGATGTGCCCTAAATCCAAATTGATGGTCAGGTATTATTTGGGTGTTTGTTAGTATATCAACAAGTCTTTTGTTCAGTAAGCTTTCAAAAATTTTGGAACAGATAGGTAGTAAGCTGATTGGTCGGTATGAGGAAGGTGAGTTTTTGTCCTTTTTAGGCTTGTGAATCATTATTATATGTGAGTATTTCCACTGTAGGGGAAATTTAGTTGTCCTCAGTATTGCATTATAAATAGTTGTCAAAAGCACTAGAGCTTTTCTAGGCATTTGTTGGAGCACTTCAGCGTTAATCAAGTCATGTCCAGGAGCTTTTCTTTTAGGCAACTTTTTGATTTGTTCAGCAATCTGTGAAGGTGTGAATGAAATAGGAGGTGAAGTTAGTTGTAAGGGCATGTCTAAAGTGTTTAGTACGTTGTTATCGTGCACAGTGTTAGTGAAGTCTGTGTGTGGTACAAAAACAGAAGAAAGATATTCGGCAAAGAGTTCTGATTTTTCTCCGTCCGTCACGGCCCAGGAATCATCTTGTCTTCGAAGGGGTGCTG